CACAAAACCAAACATGTAGACAGAGCAGATGGAACAGAGCAGAGGACCCAAGTGTAAGATGATGTAACTACAGTTGTTTGACTTTTTTACTAAAATGCCAAAAATAACCACAGAGGAGGGACAACATGGTCACAAACAGTGCTAGGGAAACTGGATGTGTACATGCAGAAGAATGAATCAAGAGCCTATATCCTACACCGCATGAAGCTCAACTCCAGTTGGATCGAGAATCTCACTCAAGGTTTGGAACTCTGTCATCAACAAGACAAAATGGCAACCTACAGAATGGGACAGAGGTCTGATCTCCAAAATACACCAAGAACTCAAAAAATTTGACATTGAAAGATCAAATAATCTAATAAAAAAATGGGGTGTAGACCTAAACAGAGAACTCTCAACAGAGAAATCTAAAATGGCTGAAAGACACTAAAGGAAATGCTCAACATCCTTAGCCATCAGAGAAATACAAATCAAAACAGCTCTGAGATTCCATCCTATACTGGTCAGAATGGCCAAGATCAAAGACACTGATGACAGCTTATGCTGGAGAGGGTGTGGGGTAAGGGGAATACTCTTCCATTGCTGGTGGGAGTACAAACTTGTACAGTTACTTTGAAAATTAGTATGGAAGTTTCTCGAAAAATTAGGAAACTATCTACCTCAGGACCCAGCAATACCACTTTTGGATATATAACAAAAGGATGCTCAATCATACCAGAAGGGCATGTGCTCAACTATGTTCATAGCAGCATTATTTGTAATAGCCAGAACCTGGAAACAAACTTGAAACCCCTCAACCAAAGAACATTTAAAGAAAATGTGGTACATTTACACAATGGAGTACTACACAGCAGTAAAAAAAAATGACATCTTGAAATTTGCATAAAAATGAATGGATCTAAAAAAAAAACATATTGAGGTAACCTAGACCCAGAGAGACAAATATAATGTGTACTCACTCATAAGTAGCTTCTGGACATAAAACAAAGAAAAAAACAATCTATAGTCCATAATCCCAGATAACCTAGACAACAAAGAGGACCCTAAGAGAGACACGCATGGATCTAATCTACTTGGGAAGTAGCAAAAGACAAGATCTCCTGAGTAAATTGTGAGTGTGGGAGTCATGCGGGAGCGGGTATAAGTGGAGGGAGAGGAAAGGAAGAGAGCAGAGAAAATGTACAGCTCAATGAAAAACAATAAAAAAATTTTAAAAAAGATTTGGAATTCTGAAAGAGCTAGAGAGAAAGTGGAGAATGCCTTTAAGATATGGGAGTGGATGAGTACTTCCTGAATTCAATTTAGATGGTTCAAGAAACAAGACCAATAACCAACAGGTGGACCTCATGAAAGCAAAGGGCTTCTGTGTAGCAAAGGAAACTATCCTTTGAGTAAAAAGGCAGCCTACAGAATGGAGGAAAATCTTTGTTAGCTATACATCCAACAGAGGACTAATATCTAGAATACACAAAGAATTTTTTAAAAAAGCACTAGGAATTAAAAAGATAATAGATCTGAAAAAGAATCCTCAAAAGAAGAAATGTAAACGGTTAATAAGCAATTTTTTAATTGTTCAATATCTTTAGCCACCAGGAAAGTACCAATTAAAACTCCTTTCGGATTTTTCACCTCCTCCCAGTCAAAATGGCTGTTACCAAAAAAATCAAATGACAGTAAATACTGGTGAGGACATGGGGGAAAGGAACTCTCACTGCTGTTGGTTTAGAGGGTAAGCTGGTGTAGGCCAGATGGAAATCAGTGTGAAGTCTCATCAAAAAGCTAGAAATCTAACTACCAAATGACCCAGTTACTCCACTCCTGGACATACCCTAAGGTACTCAGCATCCTATTACAGAGATACGTGCTGAGCCATGCTCCTTGCTGCTCTAGGCAGAGTAACTGGGAAATGGGATGTGGTGGGTGTGAATAGTCATGATCCCCATAAGCTCATCCATTTGAATATCAGTTGATCAGGGAGGATACTACTTAGGATTGGGATGTACAACCTTGTTGGAGCCCAAACCTGGTTCAGTGCTTTCTCTCCTTCCTGCTGCCTGTGGTTCTGAATGTAGAACTCTTAGCTTCTCCAGCACCATGCCTGGCTGCATTCTGCCATGCTTCCTGCCATGCTTGTTCCCCAAAACAGATTCTACTGTCAGTCTTAGTCAAAAAGTTTCTTTTTGCAGTGAATAGTGATGAATATAGAGCAGAAGTGGCAGTATGTGCTCATCCCTAAAGAAGACCTTTGTACTACCTCTTCTAAGGCCTAGGGAACATTGTAGAAGAGGGATAGAAAGTATGGAAGAAGAAGAAGGAGGAGGAGGAGAAGGAGGAGGAGGAGGAGGAGGAGGAGGAGGAGGAGGAGGAGAAGGAGAAGGAGAAGGGAAGCGAAATTCTGTCTTCTGGGCATGACACAGCCATTGCACCATGAACTCACACACAGCTAAGGCTGCCTGCCCTGGGACTGAGCAAGCTGGATCTATCAGAAGTCACTCATGCACTGGGGAGAGCTTCAGGGGGTATAGTCCTCCCTACTGAACTGTTGGCTACTGATGGATTCTGGGGAGGGTCAATCTTTATCATCAGTCGTGTCCCCAAAGATGAGGCCACCAGGCTCCAATAGATAGTGCCAAACTCTTGGTCGCCAGGATGGCCCCGGTTAAACTCAATGGGTCTACAAAAACAAAACCAAAAGTTGTGAATGTGGATAAGATAGATAGTGGGGGTGAAAGTAACCAGAATGCATTAATACTGGTATGAAGCTGTCAAATATATTTTTAAAAGAAGCTAAAATAAAACATCCCCCTAGTACTTATACTGAAATAATCTCTACAGTGTTTAACGAAAATGTGATATTTGGTAAAACCTCAGAAATGTAGTACTTCCTATCCAAGAATAGTGGAGGAATTATTAAATATGCCCAAGAACTGTTGAAACCTCTTACTTACAGATATGTACTCATGAGGCTATGAATGTGTACATTTATACCGAGTCACATAAAATATGGAGCACACAGAGCATATGTGTTCATCCTGGTGCCCAGAATTCTGAGGACAAAGAAGTGCTCTGTTCTACCCGGAGCTTGTCCCTAGCTCGCTGTCTGAATGCGCCCATACTTCTGTGCCGCGCAAAGGCTGGTGGGAGAGGATGAAACCCATCATTAGCAAGATATTTGCAGAGTTTCATAGACTGACCAGTCACCCTGCTGATAATACTAGCGTGAATGTGAGGAGTATTATCCGTTAATATTCTGGGTAATTTTAAGTGTGTCTGTGTGCAGGCACAAACACCACACTCATGTATACGTGGAAGTTGGGAACAGAGCCAAGATGCTTCTGTTGGCAGAATCTCAACAGCAGTAGATGTCATTGGGTTTTCGCCCACTAAAAGCAACTGTGTCCGGAGGTGAAATTAGAAAAAATCAAATCAATTTTCAATCATCTCCATGAATCAAGATGGATTTAGCGTTCCCTCAAGGTGATTAAAACACAAAATAATTTTAAACCTTGCCCTTCTGACTTTGGAGGAAGAAGGATTGAGAATTCAAGGTCGTTCTCAGCTACATGACAAGTTTGAAGCCAATCAAGGTTACGCTGTCTTAAAAAGGCACTGCAGAATTGAGGGACAAAGTGTAAACACTTCTTAAAATGCTGAAATATAGCTACCACATGATCCAGTAGTCCTTATACAGTATATTATGCCAGTGTACAGCCAAGACAAATGAAAACGTTCCCATGCCATTTTTAAATGGTGGTTCATAATGACATTCCTAAGAACCCAAACAAAGAAACAATTCAGAAGTTCGACAACTAGTAAGCAAATGGATAAAATTCACTTTATTCATAAAAAAAGAATATTATTTGGCTTCAGAAAAATGAGATGAAGTACTGGCACATTCAAGAGGGAAATGTATCTTGAAACGTTCATTACATTAAGAAGCCAGATCCAAAAGGTTATAAATTGTGGATCCACTTAAAAGAAATGTTCAGAACAGTCAAATTCACTCCTAAATAAGTGGTTTAGTGATTATCAGAGGGAGGGGGCATTAAGAAGGAAACTAATGTGCCCATAGTTTCTTGGGGGGGACCATGAAAATGTCTTAATTTTAAAAATGGTAATTCCCATCAGGTGGCTCACCAATAGCCTGTAACTGTAGCCAGAGGAAACCTGACATCCTTCCTCTTCTGTTCTCCTGGTGCACCTGCATAGGTGTGGCATACACACAGATGCACACACATGCACAGAAATAAACATTAAACATTTAAAAATGGTAATTTAAAACTTGTAAACATATGTAGTGGTTTGAAAGAAAATGGCCCCCAAAGGCAGTGGCACTATTAGGAGGTGTGGCTTTGTTGGAATGGTTATAGTCTTTTCGGTGTAAGCATGTCACTGTGGGGGGTAGGCTTTGAGGTCTCCTATATGTTCAAATCACACCCAGTGTCTCAGTTCACTTCCTGTTGCCTGCAAGATGTAAAACTCTCAGCTCCTTCTCCAGCACCAGGTCTGACTACACATTGCCATGTCCCACCATGATGATAATGAACTGTAAGCCAACCACCACAATTAAATGTTTTCCTTCATCTGAGTTGCCATGGTCATGGAGTCTCTTCACAGCAATAGAAACCTTAAAACAATATACTAAAAGTCACTAGACTTTCTGTTTTAAGGGTACGTGAGAGACAGTTCAGCAGGTAAGAGTTTGTATTGCAAAGAATTTCAGTTTGGTCTTCATCACCTACATCAGGCAACTCACAACTACATGTAATTCAAATTCTAGGGGATCTAATGTCCTCTTCTGACCTTTGCAGGTATCCTCACCCGAGAACACATACCCACATGCAGATACATACACAAAATTAAAAATAGACGCAATCTTTTCTAAAGGGTGAATTTTATAGAATATTATTTAAATATCAATAAAAGTCATTACCAATATGCTGCATACTTATATATATGCATATGCTTTATGATCTTAGTTTATTCTCTTTAACTCTCAATTTCTTTTTTTTTTATAGCCAGAAAATAACTTTATTTGTTCTAGGGAGCTGGCCAAAGCGCTCTCAGAACTTCTGAAACTGTTCCTTGGTGCCAGCAGCCATAGTGACTTTGAGCACATTGAAGCGCACCGTCATTCTCAGGGGCCTGCACTCTCCCACAGTGACAATGTCGCCGATCTGTACATCCCTGAAACAGGGGGACAGGTGCACAGACATGTTCTTGTGGCATTTCTCAAAGCGATTGTACTTTCGGATGTAATGAAGATAGTCCCGGCGGATGACAATGGTCCTCTGCATCTTCATCTTGGTCATGACATCGGACAGGATGTGACCTCGGATGGAGACGTTGCCAGTGAACGGGCATTTCTTGTCAATGTAGGTGCCCTCGATGGCCTCCTTGGGCGTCTTGAAGCCTAGACTGATGTTTTTGTAGTACCGAGGGAGTTTTTCCTTGCCGGTTTCTCCAAGCAGAACAGGTTTCTTGTTTTGGAAGATTGTGGGCTGCTTTTGGTAAGCACGTTCGGTCTGAATGTCCGCCATCTTCCTGGCAGCCTGAGGAAAAGAGAGGTGGGCTAACTCCCGGGTTTCCTTTTTCACTACGCGAGGTCCGCAGCGGAAGTGTAACTCTCAGTTTCTTATTTTAAAATTTTTATTTGCATGTATGTGTGGAAGTGGGGGCATACATGCCATGCTATATACGAGGAGGTCAGAGAACAATGTAGGAAAGTCAGTTCTTTCCTCCTACCATGTAGGTCCCAAGGATCAAACTCAGGTTCTGCGGTTTGTTCCCCTCTGTTCCTCGTCCCTCCACAACTTCTCGTCTGTGTAGTCACTGACCAAAAAAAAAAAAAAAAAAAAAAAATCTCTAATAGGACAGAAGAATCTCTTGTTCATAATTAGAAATCAAGTTAAGGTGGTATACCTGATTTTTGATAAATACTAAATAAATTATGACAGCTATGTTAAGTGATATGTAAACCATTTAATATCATTCTAGCCACAGAGAAAGTCCTCAGATTGTAGCAGTCATTGCTTTAAACCCTTTATGCACAAGAAAGAGGGAAAATAAATTATTAGAATCAGAAATGAATAGGGAAACATAATAACATATAAAAAGCAATCTGGATTACAAGGGATTTTTTTAAAAAAAATATTAAAAACCTGTACTCCATTAAGTTGAAAAACCTAAAAGAAAGAATTTATTTTCTACATCCAGACAAACCACCAAAATTAAAATAACAAGATATCAAAAACCACTAACAAACCCACAGCAATGATAAGAGTGAAATGATAATGAAAATTCCTTTCAGCTATAGGAGGAGAGATGTCCTGGCTGGACTGGGGGTGGTTGGGCTTGGGAATTTGAGGTTAGGGGATAGGCAGAGTGGGACATGCTGAGAGAGGGGACTGAAAAGGGGGGCTTTACGGGGTCGGGTAGAAATCTACAAATCTATAAGGATGACCCTAGCTGAGACTCCTGGCAGCAGTGGATGAATAGTCTGAACTGGCCATCCCCTGTGATAGGATTGGTGACTATGCTGGTTGTCATTGGAGAACCTTTATCCAGTAATAAAGGGAGATCCAAGGCCAAACACTGGGCCATGCTGGAGAGAGGGAGGATGCCCTCATGCAAAAGAATGAAATCAGACCCACACCTATCACCTTGCCCAAAGCTAACTCCAAATAGATCGAAGATCTAAATGTGAACCTTGAAACACTAAAACTGCTTTTGAAAATATAGGCTGTACCCTACATGATAAAGGTGGGGAAAGGACCCTGAATTTGATCAAGAATTAAGGCCAACAATTGACAAATGAGACTTCTTAAAACTGAAATGCTTCTGTATAGTTAAAGAAACAATCAACAGTGTGAAGAAGAAGACCATAGAATGGGAAAGAATCTTTGTCAGTTATATATCTGATGAAGGGTCAATGTCCAGAATATAATATATAATATATAAATGTGTATATGTATGTATATATGTTTTTTGAGACAGGGTAGCCCAGGTTATCCTGGAACTTTTTTTGTTGACAAGGCTGGCCTTGAACTCAGAGATCTTCCTGGCTCCTGGCTGTCCTAGAACTTGCTCTGTAGACCAGATTAGCCTTGAACTCAGAGATCTTCTTGCCTCTGCCTCCCAAGTGCTGGAATTAAAGGTGTATGCCACCACCACCTATCATGTATATTCTGGGACCTGAATAGTGAACTCTCAAAAGAAGAAAAAAAATGAATACTTTTTTTTTTCAAAATCTTCAAAAACATTTATCACCTCTAGTCATATGAAAATGTAAATAAAATGTAAATAAGAACAATTTTGATATTTTATTTTACCCCAGCCTGCATGGCAAAGATTAACAAAACAACACCAGCAAATGCTAAAGAGAGTATGAAGAAAATGGAACCCTCAATCACTGCTGGTGGGCTTACAAACTAGCTGAGGCACTCTGGAATTCAGTGTGGAAAATTCCCAAAAGCTAAAAGTACATCTACCATATGATCCAGCTACACTACTCCTTGGCATGTGACCAAAGAACTCAACATCCTCCTCTACAGATGCATGCTCAGCCATGTTCAATACTGCTCTGTTCCCAATAACTAGGGAATGCAAACCACCTCACTTCCTTCAACAGGTGAAGGGCTACTGAAAAAGTGGTGCATACATACTATGGAATACTTACTGTTTAGCTATTTAAAAAAAATGAAATCACAAACTTTGCAAGTAAATGGATAGAACACGGAAAGGTCATGCTGAGTGAGGTAACACAGATGCAGAACTACAAACGCCGCACGTTGTTTCTCATCAGAGACTCCTAACTCCCAGTCTTTAGATGTGAGTACAGATCCGGGAGTAACTGCAAAACAACCAGGAAAGTAGAACAGGACCATCGCTAAGGGAGAGGAGTGGGCAAGCAATAGAGAGGGAAGAGCAGGGTAAAAGGGATCTGATGGGGAAAAACAGGGTCTCTATTTAGGGGCGGTGAAGATAAACCCAAAAGGAAGGGAGAGGATAATATAACAGTAAAGATGTCTAAAAGAGTCATCAGCGATCATACTGTTAACTATTGCATTAAAAAGGCCTATAATACACATAAGTATGCATATGTGTATGTGTGTATATATTTACATAATATATAATACACATAATATATTATATTATATAATATATACATAATATATAATACACATAAGCATGTGTATTATGGGTGTGTATATATACATATCTTTATATTTATATATAAAATATGTATGTATATATACATTATATATTTATATATATAAATAGATATATAATATCTTTAAATGAAATTTTCCCACCAGGCTGACAGTGCTTTGCCTAAAAACCAACGACAATCTAACGCCAACCCTGTCCAACAGTAGGCATGAGTTGCCCTTTTTTGAGTTGTTGTTCAGGTTGTCCAAGAGACTCCCAAAACATTCCCATACCTAAAGTTCAGGGAACAATGCAGACGATGGGGTGAAAAGACCGTAAAGAGCTGAGGTCCAGGGGGTGTCCTATGAGACAGAGTGTGTCTCCCAGTAATAAAAGAAGCTATGCTCATAAGGCCTTACCAACATGGCTGTCTCAGCATGAACTTAACAAGAGCGACAACAGTAGACAGGCCAGAGTGCGTGGGGGAAATACCACAAGGCCTCAGTCCTAAGCAAAGAACTACAGGCAGCTAAAGCAGGTAGAGAGCAGGAAAAACAGTCTTCCCCAGGGCAGAGCACACCAACTGGTTATTCAATGCACTGAAAGTATATGCCTACTAGTAACCTTCTACAGACTAAACATGGTATATTTGTATATTTAGGAGTGTGTGTGTGTGTGTGTGTGTGTGTGTGTGTAAATGTGTTTACAGCAACAATTAATTTAAAAAAGGCATGAAGAAGACCAAGGAGAGGTATACAGGAGGCTCCAGAGGGAGGGAAGGGAAGGAGGAAATTATTTAAGTTGATTATAATCTCAAAAAATAAAAGGAATAACTTGTAAAAATCATTTACACGACAGTAAACCTCTATTTTAAAGTCTTTTTCTGTCTTTTCTCCATAGAGAGCATTTTACTTCCCATTCTCCTCCATAAAATATGATCATCACAATTATCAGGCTCTCCTCAACTATTTCCTCTTCATAACAAATAAAATCAGACTGGCTTTCACTTTGGTATAAGGTTTACACTTGCCTGTTTGACTTGATTCGTGTGTGCCTTGTGCAGGACGAGAACCAGGCCTGTTTCTGTACTGTCCTGAGTCACCTATACGAGCACGGAGCCGAACACATGCTTTACAGATCAATAATTAACTGCTGACTGAGGGAAGAAAGGAATGGGCCTATATCCGCTCAGTGAGTGGCTGTCCCGGAATAGGTGGCTCTCAGTGACGGGATGGGTGTGGAAAGAAGGCTCATTGTCAAACAGGATGCAGGTTGTCATTTATGAGTCACCTGGGTGATTTGAAAGGTTACCTGACACCTTCTTCCCTGGGCATATCATACTAGAGTTTAAAGGTGCCTCTCCATAGGCAGGAAGGCCCACTTCGCCCCAAAGATATCTATCTCATTCAACCAGCCACGGATGACATAAATTTTTTTAAGTAGGTGAAGAAAAACCTCTCATTCTTAATCAGAAATCAAAGTCAAGGTACAAATGTCTTTCCTCGGTTAGATAGACATAAACACACTGACTGAATCAGGAATCGGCAAAGCTGGACTTCAGCCTTGCCTTGGCTTTGGATGTGGGTGTATGACAGGCAGGAAAATGGGGTAAGAGCACTTCTACTCAGCGTCCAAAGACAGAACGAAGTGGAGCATAAGCAACTAACAAGGCAGAGAAGGTGCTTACAGCTTGGACCTCATCATAATTCTCCTGCTGTCAAGCCTACCTTCACTTAGACCCTTTTCCGCCCTGCTTTCACGTGGAAAGCGTGTAAGTCGTAGGTGTGAACCATGGGTTCACTCAGTGACGCTTCCCTCTGCAGGCTGGAAGCGTAGTTTGTTGTCCATTGTGAATGATTTTCGTTTTCATTTCTCAAGGTGCAGCCGTGTTTCAACAGCCTTCACTGCTAGCTCACCTTGACCTTTTGAACCAGCCTAGTTCCCAAGATCCTATGTTGTGTGCATGTTTTATTTTTAATTTTTTTTTAAATTTTTCTTTGCAAATGGATCACATGTATCTTAGGTTAACCACCAACTCTATATGTCATCGAGAATGACCTTAAGCCTAGGAACCTCTTGCTTCTACTTCCTGAGTGCTAGGATTACAGGTGTGCACCGATAATGTCTGGTTTACGTAATGCTGGAGTTTGAAACCTGGGCTTCACGCATGGTAGGCTTAGCACTCTAGCAAGGGAGCTACATCCCCGGGTGTATATTTAAGATGCTATGCATACAGTTTCATGTTATAATATCAGTATGTATATAGCACATACAGCTTATACTATCTTTGTATCCATATATACAAACACATTATAATTTTAATGTATGTAAAATAAGCCTTAGCAAGATTTCTTTATAGAAATGATTTTTAAAAAAACAACTCAGAAAACCCCTCTACGCCTTTCCAATCCCAACCAGTACATTCTGCCTTAAAGAAAATTTCTTTCTAAGTCTGATGCGGTGGCACTCAAGAAGCTGAGGGGACTCAATTGTGAGTTCTGGTACACTCTGGGCTCCAGAGTAAGACACTGTCTAAAAGAAAGGAAAAAGAAATCTCTCCTTGCTTTTCTTTATATACTTCTTACTTATCTAATTATGTCTTTAAAAAAGGTTTGACTTTGCCTCTTTTTGCTCTGGACCTGTTCCACTCAGTCTAAGGCTCTTCCCATTACTGCCTA